TACATGTCTACAATACGAACAGAGACCATCTTCTTTGTGGTTTTGATGTCAGTTAACATTTACAAAGTGATCACTGAGAAACTTTTGAAAGTTATTAAAATTTACTACCTATGTAGAATTGCGAATACAGTGCTGCAGCTTGAATTAAAACTGAGCGAGCGAAGCAAGCGTACAACGCCATCAACTGGTTAACTAACAGAAATAAAATGTTTACATTATTTAATTATATTTAATAAAAATTAGTTACTTCAAATGTAAAGGTTGAGTAAGATTATGTCCAAGTAATTACATACTAGCCTGATACAAATACCAATTTTCAGTATGGAAATCAAACATTAAAACATAACAGCTGTTTTTTTATTAGTATGAGGGTATCATATATTTCCTTTTTAATATATGAATTAATCCAACGACATTTTTTTTCGGATTATTAGTAAAATAAATAAAATTCCTTTAATTTGTCAATGGTATGATAAGCAAAATACATAATTAAAGTGACTTCTACGTATTTTCACACTGTTACTTATGTTACTTCCATGAAATACATAAATCTTCTTATATTATATTTGGAAACTCATATTTTTATATAACACGGACAATAAATATTTAAAACATATTTGTAAAAAAATCAATAATATTAACAATGAAATACGACTTCAATCGATATTACTATATTGCGTTAAGTATATTTTGTTTTGAATAAAATGAAAATTCCCATGGGAATATTACATACCAATATTCCCGTGGAATACACACAATATATGCAGCAGACTTTTGAATTAAACACATATTCTACTAAATATCATTAAAATCCACTCATAAATATTTAAATAAAAGTTTTATTATATTAAACTACAACAAAATAAAAAAAAAATAAAGTAAAAAATAAAGTTTAACAAAAATAACTATTTCCTGTAAATTTTTTAGTTGGATTTCAGTAATTTTCATTGTCGCTATGACAAATAAAACCAAAATTTGTGAAAAAAATCGTGTTAGTAATTTTGCGTGAAGAAAATGAAGGTTTTTGACCTGATGTTTTTTTTTTATACCTTTCGTAGCTAAAATGAGATGGATTCTTAAATATAGTCTCTTGTAATTGGCTCATAAACTCGATTAAAAATATTCCAGGCTTATATCGAATTATTTCCTTTTTTCTCGTATTTGTATCAGGCTATACTCTCTATTAGTTTGAATGAATTTGAAATAAGAACATAGGTAGGTGCTCTTTTTGAATATATAATTATACCATATAGGCAGAAGTACCAGTTTTTCCCTATTTCTTATTAGTCACTGCCCCTTTTTGGCCATTTGGAACTTTAAGGCATTCTAACTAACGCGTAGACAAATATATTCATTTACCGTGAACGGTTTTAAAAATGTTTCATTATGGCAAAAGTAATTGCTTTAACAGCTAAGGTATATTAAAGTTCACTTCATCGTAACTTTCAAACGGTCAGTTGTACAATTGGCCTTATGGTTACTATATTTGTGTATATCCATGCTATCTTCCAGAAACGGAAATTAAGGGGAATATTCTGAATTGCGTTAGTTAAATATTTAATTTTTTTGAGAGAAACGAATAGCAACGTGGGAAATATAGCGAATGTTTCAATTTTTAAACGACTTCAAAAAAGGAGGATGTTCTCAATTCGACTGTATGTTTTTTTTACTTGGTCAATCCTGAATCAGTTTTCAAAATTATTGTTTTATTCAACAGTCCCATTTCAATATCAAATCAGTAGTTTTCTTGTTACAATAAAACAAAATATGCTTTTCATCATATAACACCAAAATATTTTTATGTCATGTTTAAATCCGAGAAAAAAAAAACATAAATAGCGTACTTTGCATTATATCCTTTTTGTACGTAGTTTATAGATGTTATATATTTATATAAATATTCTCTTTGTAGATTTTTTAGATATCTTTGATGAAATTTTACTGGGTATTCTTCCTGTTCGATTTAATTTTGTTACCTTTGATTGTTTGACTTCATTATTGTGAATTTCGGATTATTATTGTTTTAGAATTGGAACTATATCAACATTCAATTATCAATACACAACTACTTTATTTGGAATTCTAGGTCCTATCGTAATGTCAAATTTTACGCGATAGGCTGCACATGTGTGAGGATGATATTGACTGCATACGGTCGTTACTTCAACATGTGATTGACTACAGTCTCAATTATAATATGACGACTGCATGTGGTTGCCGATATGACTTCGCGCGGTTGCTGCAGTTGCTACTTACAATTCGTGTGATAGCAGTCGATCACACGTACAATGCCCAGGGTCCAAGAACATAATATTTTATTAAAGAAATTTCAAACAACAAAGTAATTCTAAATAAGATATAAGCACGTCATTTGACTTCAAACATTTAATATCGGGGATGTCGCTTATCACCCTTTTGTATTTCAGAAGTAGTCCTTGAAATCGCGGTATATAGTGACGGTTACTCCTCCAGCGATTATGTCCTATGTAAACGTGCATAATATTATAGTTGACTCGAAATGCTTTGTCGAATACGTACTCGTATACAGGGATCTATGAACAATTATGTTCCATTTTACTTTTTATAAAACATTCTAGAAAATAGTAGCCGTTATGATTCGAGTATTTTGTCACATTTGGATTAGGATTTGTTGTTAAAAGAAAGTTTCTTTTTTTAAAGTTCTATACAGTTGGGTCACTATAATAAGTCATATTTGACACACAATAGAACGTAACGTTGTACGAAGTCAACGTAATTGAAAAAAAATGCAGAAATTTGATAAAAATTAAATTCAATATATTTATAGGGGTAATAAGTATATACGTAAGACAATAATCGTAATATGTAGTTTACGAGTAATGAATTAAAAAATATTCGCCGCTCAATTCGACATTTTGCTAGTCTATTTGCCGTGGGCAATAAGAGAGATAAGTATAGTATTTTTTTTTGTAATAGGTTTAAGGGTTAATTTTTAATATACGCATCACCGAGTCTGATAAATGACTGCGTTTTTCAAAAGCTACTTTTCTGTGACTTCCTTCTGTTGTTCTTATTACAAGAGTTATGATGTAGAGAGAAACTATAATTTAACAGTCGAATCTCATAAAGAATTATCAATAATTGATTTATTTATTCACAATATTCGATTGTCATTTGTTTAAATGAAAACCATCAATTTTAAGGTCACCTCACTATCAAATCGATAGATGTCAAATGTGACCTATTTTATTGACACAACTGTAGTTCTATAGCTTGAATCATAGACATTCTATAGCTTATATTTATGATGTCAGTAAAGTTGCCTTATATATTTTACTATTTGTTAGTCTTGTATCTTGCACCCGATCCTCGTATTATTACATCTTTCCCTATTTCTATTGAGCTATCGATAGTATAAATAACTATATTTTATGCAAGTAGGTATGTTCACCGATTTCGTCGTGGTTATGATGTGCAAATAAAAAAAAAGGAAAAGAAATTTCTTTGTAAACATAATTTCTTTTACATAGCTACTCGTATTTAATATTTTAGTAAAATGTATACAAAGTATTTATAAGCAACTATATAAGTAAATGAAATATCTTTTAAATGTTTTCATTCTGTTTGTTTCATTTATGGATAGTGCGCGTGAAAATATAAGAAATCAGTAATAAAAGAAACAGAATCAACATAAGAATCACTAAAAATAATAAAATAAAAATATTTTCCAAAAAAATTGAACCGCCTTCAAATTTTTTACAAGCGAAAAATAACCCTTATCCTAAAAGCGGTTAAATTTTTCAAGAAACATTGAAGTCGGATGATTATTATTAAATAAGCTACGGAAAACCTCAGCCCGAATTCAAAGGTTCTTGAAAAAATTTTCCGCTTTAAAGATACGAAATAATTTCAAAGAAATTCGAAGACGGGTCTATTTTTAGAAAAAAAAATATTTCTGTCAAAACCATTTCGAAGACGGACGTTGGTTTTCAAACATTCAACGTGAATGGTATTAATTTAGATTGATTTTCGAAAATAAATTCCTTTGGTAAAAGAAAATGAGTGAATTCATTTTCTTTATTTTTATTTATTATTAGTATGATATATTTCGTAATAGAGGCCAGGAGATTCGCGATCGGTTTACAAATTCCCTTGGCTTATTTCAAAATATATTAAACTTTCTATAAAGTATTATTTTGGAAGAGATTTTAAGGGATAATATTCACTATTTCATTTTTTTTAGTTATCATTCGCAAAGCTGTATTATGAGTTTAGGAAATCCATCGACTAAAATGTCTCTGTCTGTCTCTGAATACTTCTTTTATTATTTAAGTATAATATATATTACAAGTGACTACCACAAGCATTGCTTGTAGTAAATTCTGAGTACTATTTGCCTTTTTTTGCTTTAATATGTCACTTTATGGTCATGACAGTTCGTATCAAAACAAAAGAGAAAAAATAAATAATCCGATATAAAAAGTGTTAATGTGAAAATTAATAAAAGTTCTCCTACAGATTATTAAAGATTTTGCGTAACCGATATAATTAAATAGTAATTAATTTTAAAACGAGTCTTTATGATAACGATATCAATAACTTTACTCTGTTTCACTAACAAACTTGGTAAATTATTTTTGAACGAGTCGTAGTCCGTGTCCGTAGCAGCTACGAGACTCCTATTTCGTGAGATCATTATCTGAATCAAAGTGTAACATTATCGGGTTGCCGAAACGAAACTGCAAGTTTTGCCGTTAAATTTAATACAGGTCAAAAATTGGTCCAATTTAACTTTACGCCCAATGTCAGGTGTTGTTACCTATTAGAATGCACGCATAATGAGTTACGTCCTTAAACTTGTCAAGTGTATCAGCACGGTAGAACGGGCAAGTGCAGCCCAGTCCCCGTGACCTACATCTGCGACCCTCGGTCGGAAGCTGCTAATTTCCACCATCGCGACTACGTCACAGCGGGGGAGGGCTCAGGCCAAACGCTGCTACAGCCGATCCGCCAGTCCATAGCCCCACTTCAAATCGGACGCACGCGCGCGTCTTCGGCTCACGCCTCGCGAAACAAACGCCTGATCAAAACTCAAAAGAGATTTTTTATGTGCATCATATTTTTTAGTGCGGCTAACTGTGTAAAGTATTACTATTTTTTTTAATTAACTGTGATAGCTCAGGCGCAAACTCGGGTGGGGCGCGTTCCGCTGACACAGTGGCTCAGTACACCGCCGGTCGCCGAGTGGCAAGCACCATCGATTTTCTCCATACGACCGTACTACAGGTACGTACATCACGTGCTCATATTTTCAACGCATCTATTTCCACGCGCGTATTTCAGATCTGCTTAGTTTAAACCATTCAAGGCCGCGCCTGTTTGCGTTAGCGTTTACGTAGTTTACGTTTATGTTTTGTTATGGTATTTCGTGTTGTGTGGCGTCACGTAGAAGATAACCGGCAAATCGGTTTCATGGCTTATGAAAAGCTTGAGAATATTAAACTCTAGAAAATATAACTGTAAGTATATAAATACGACATAAATAAACTAAATTTCGCAAATTGTTATTGCAATTCACCAATAAAACTTTACTGCTTAGTTTTATTACTTGATATATTTCAAAACCACTGCTAGTTCAACATTTTTGAAATAGAATATACCAACTTTAATATTTGTTATAATTTATTGCCAAAGACTTGTATTACTTAATCAAATCGGGAATGTTTTGGCCAGGTGTTTGATGTGTCCGAGCAGATCATCTTATTGATCATGACCCACAGAACTGCATACTAAACTTGTGCTAGTTGATATGAGATCTGGCAACTGTTCAGACAGGGATTCATTCAATAAAATATACACACGATACTCTTATAGTGCTATTTATCTTTTTTACATAACGAAAGTATCATTTTAAACCATAACTATTATTTAGAAAGATCACAAACAATCACTACATATTATAAAACAAAGTCGCTTTCTCTGTCCCTATATCCTATATAAATCTTTAAAACTACGCAACGGATTTTGATGCGGTTTTTTTTTTTCATAGATAGGGATGATACAAAAGGATGGTTTTATGTTTAATACAAAACCACGCGTACGAAGCTGCTGGCGGAAAGCTAGTTTAATATATTTTATTATCGTTCCCTAAATTTTGTTATTCTTCTAACAAGTAAGCAGATTTGACATGGCGTTTATTTGAAAATAATGTGAGGTGGAATTTCATCATAAATGCTTAAAGTTAACATAGACGTATATGACTTGAAAGCACTTTTTTCAGCAAGGAACAGTTTAATGGGATAAAATTAGTATCCTACGAAATAATTACAATTATCCTTACAGCAAATTTCATTTAAGTCCGGTTAGTAGTTTATGCGTGAAAGAGTAATAGACATATATACACATACATACTCGCAAACTTTCGAATTTGTAATATTAGTAGAATGTACGAAATATGTTGATATTTAAGGGAGTACTTAATTTTTTACGTCTACAAAATACATGTCTAAGATTGTCTAATAAACAAGATATATATTACAATAGCATTATGAATGCAAAAATGGAATATAATAATTATTATTTTTATAATGCTTTGTTTTCACTTAATATGTTTATAAACTACTGTCTTAGATATAAAAATATTTTTCTGAAACATGTTTGTTAACAATGTTGCATACTTTGTAACTTTTTGACATATGCTGTTATTATTTCGAACTTATCATGAATTTCTGATTATTTATTTTTGTCCATAACTATTTACGTTGTTACTAGCTCTCATTAACACAAAGACTATTAATAAGAGAGCTAGTAGCTTATTTTTTTATTTTACATCGTGTGGTAATAAAATCAATTTCTATTTTGAACAAACAAAGTATATGTATAAATAAATTATATATTTTTTATTGATGCAGTCACGTTTTTGTGTTGGCGTGATAAAACGTTATTGCGGACTCTTATCGCTACAACTCTGCCGCAAACGTTCAAAATGTATGTACCTAAAGACTGTTGTTTCACAACTTAATAATGTTTCCAACAACATAAGATCTCACGTGTGATTTGAAGAAAGATAAAGTAAAAATAGATCTGATATAAAATCATTTGGTATTACAATTGAAAACTCCGGATTTAGTAGGCACATATATTTTATTTATATCACTGAGAACTAATTTATTCCAATATAAAAATAAATATTTTCTATATAAATATTAACCGATAGAAAGGAATAATAGTAAATAAATATTAGAATATTTTTTTTACAACAATTTACCAGAATAAATATTATTATTTTAACTGATACCTAATTTTGAAAAGGAAATCAAATTCGGTTTATATTATTTCTATGGTTGTATACACAATTGCACCTCTTAATGTATATTCGAAGAATTTGAAGACTACTTGAAAAAGAAAACCTTCATTGAGACATTAAAAATCGCATAAAAATACGATAAAGGTTACTTTAATTACCATCAATAATTTATATATTATTGTAGGAGCTCTTTCTAAGGTTCCCCACTTCTACGACTTGTTTATATAGGATTTGGTATTGTCACTATAGAAAGCGACTTTGTTTTATACTAAAACAAAGTCGCTTTCTCTGTCCCTATGTTTGCTTAAATCTTTAAAACTACGCAACGGGTTTTGATGCGGTTCATTTTCATAGATAGTATGTTTTTATGTATAATACAAGACCACGGGCGAAGCCGCTGGAGGAAAGCTAGTTAAAAATAAAACCTGATTGGTAGCAAAGTCTATTCACGGAAAAATGCTACAAACTTTCACGTATATAATAATAAAAGTAAAAATAAATCAGAAGTCTCGAAGCATGCAGCAGTGACTGATAAAATGCTCAGTAGCAGTGATGGTTACGTATTATGACAAAACAAAAGGCGATCGCAACGCAAACATAATAGCAATTAGACGGCCTTGTTCAAGGTGTGAGCACCACCAAAACTGAATGGCCGGAGGTTGACCGGTCGCCACGTATTGATGTCAAGGGGACAACGTCACGACTCATCTGGCATCATCAGACCAGTGGCACCGCCAAAAAGATGAGCAAAAACTGCATACGTATTTAGTTTTAATATATATTATTTACCTACTGGCATAGAAAGCTTTTCCTCCAAAGGAAACAACTACATATAATACAAGGAGACGAATTATTTTCTGAAAAATACATGCAATTGATTATCTACGAGTATATATAAGTAAAGATTATTAACTGCAAGTATTCAACCATAAAAATAGGTAACTGTATTTAGCAATTAGTTTGACGTTTGCAAGAGTTTTGAATTGTATATATAAAAGATTATATATATAATTTAGATTAATGCTTTGTAATGTTAATCCTTTGCTAATTTTAAATTGCTGTAGACAGCTTTGTTATTTTATGCTTCTAATTTGAATACATTATGAAAAAAAGAATGAGCTTATCTTAACTGCATTAGGTCTCCTTTGAGTAGAAGTCGTTTGTTTTTAAGTTAAAAAAAATATTCGGGACGAGGCTATTATGAAATTTTAACGATTGGCTATTACGTGCAAGATATGTTTTCGCGATAATCACTTTCTATTCTCCAAACTATCCCACACAAAAAATTATACCATGTAAACGCTTTTACGACAGAAAAAATAAACAAAAATAATATTTTATATTATAAGGCTGTTTTTAATATAATTGCTACGAGACATTAATTTTTGATTTCATATCCTATATATTTTGTGTGTAACATGTGTCTGCGCAAATGATGTGTGACTGACTTAATATCACTGAATGTTCATCAGCGTCGTCGTATTCTGGTAGTTTTTATGCCTTCCAAGCGACATCGTTATGATAATACTGCCCTAGTTTCATAAAGAATTTAAGTACTGAACTTAGGTTCAAATCAAATAACACTGTCTACCAGACTTTTTATAGGACAAGTTAGATTTTTATGTCAACAAAATATTTTCGAATCTATAATCTCGGAGATTTTGTTTTTTCAATAAACAAATCCTGTGACTTGAGTACATTTTAAAAATAAATTACACACGTACAATTTAGCTACTGTATTTTCTTTCTTAAAGTTATCTTTAGTTGCCCTTGATATAAGACATCGTTACGTATGTCTATATATAATATGTATTAAGGGTATAACCTTTAAGCCAGACAGAAATAAAGCTGATTACACATAAGTTAACATGATAGTTCGATTTGACGCGGCCTAATTTATACCACCTTCACTATTAACTCCGCAGGTCACGCAATACAACAATCGGAGGACTTTTCCTCATTAGCTGTTGTTTGGTTTATATTTTACCTTTGTGTTTTGTCAATAAATTAATAGGTTTAACTTTTTTATCGCGTCAATAAAATCTTGAAAGTTAAATTTAAAAATAATAGAATATTCAATAAATATGATTTACGATTGTTTAAAGTTAAAAAAAAAAGTGACGTCAAAATCTAGGCAACTTAAATAAGATTAGATTGATTAATTGTTAACGATAAATTAATTTTATATTTTTAAAAGTCTCGTAAATTTATATATAAACGAAACCCTACCTAGAAACAGGTGATTATTTAACCATGTTAATTATTAATACATTATATGCGATTGTCTAAAACCATAAGTATACTATATCACTCAATAATAACATAATTACCTCCTTTTCTAAGCGTTTCATGGTTAAAACTTATTATTTTCTTTAATATTGATATTGTTTTAGAGTTTTAGCGATTTTGTATATAATTTTTAGTTTTCGGATATTTGGGTTTTGATATTAGATTAGTTACAGGTCATTATACTCTAAAAATGGACATTTGATATAATAGTTTCATGTTTATCCTCTGTCCTGCTCTAACCTGTGCAAAGTAGCACAGATGTATGATGCACATGCAGATTTATAGATGCGCAACGCAGTCGATATATCGAAAATTGGTTTTGAACTCCTGAAATAATACGTGTTGTATTTATTACTAATATGCTCATTTTCATGTTTTATTTATGCACTTTATGATTTATTTTTAATAAATAGATATATAACTCAAAGAAGATATTAGTAGAAGATGTCGCGTCGCAAGTGCATACTCTACTTAAGAACTGAATGTGTAGGCTGATTGTCGTTCTATAATAGATCTAATGTTGCTTGAAACAGGTTTCAATTATGAAAGTTTATGTATTTGTTTAATGTAATTGGGTTGTACTGAATATAATGTCATAAAAACTTAATACTACTGTGCCTAAAGTACTAAATGGGTAAAGATGATAGGGTAATATTTCGAATATTGTAACCGGGCATTTTGTTAATTAACA